TTTATGGTAGGGGATGAAACTACCTTTCGAATTCGGGGCGTAGAAGCAATTTAATCACATAACTCTAAAAATACTATCGCTTTAAATTTTTTAGTATATTGTCTGGTTACTGAGGTATAAACCGTCAAAGTTGACGAAATTTCGAGCCTCTTAATCTGTTAACTCCTTGCTTTATGATTGTCTTCCCAATCGTACTCAACAGACATTTTATTGTCCATAATTCATTGGGAAAAGAAGAAAATTCTACACTTATTCTACGTCTACGTTTACTCCGAAGCATTTCCATTAATAATAGAAAAATAATATTCAACTCATACTTGAGAGAAGGAAGTGATATTTATATTTGTTAAAATCCATTTGAAGTTTTCACTACGAGTCTGACGCGATATTGTAGGGCAAGAGGTTAATTTTGGAGTTTAATTTCAGAAATCTCTGATGATGCTCACAATGAAATGAAATAATGAAGTATATATTCATCAAACGCAGGCCAAATGCACCTATAATATATTCTAACGGAAAGCTAAAACAAAACGAAGAAGAATTACATGTATATTTAAAAAAATACATAATTCATCATTGAAAGAATTAGTATTATTTTGATTTTAAGGTGACATGTATACTCATCGAACGCAGTTAATTAATTAATATCTCGAAAATTAGAGCCTCTTTAATGTGCCAGGTAAAATGTCTCTTAAATGTCTTATTTAAAACATTTGACTATTAAAATAGATGATATAAACATATATTAGTAATAAAAATAAAGTAAAATGTTCTTGAATTTACCCTTGTAATTCCTTTCTCAATGTACCATAAATCTTAGTCATGTTTTAATGAACCGGAAGGGAAACAAAAATGAGTTGCACAGAGTGTCACGCTGGGACAAGTTTCCTAATATCGAGTAACATGTCTAGTACGATATCCCGCTGAGAAAATTTGCACAAATTTCATTTTGAGATATTTAAATTTAAAATGTTAGTGAGGGTTATATACAGTCTGTCCCATTAAATCATATTAACAGTAATACTACCAGACGGGTCAAAATAAGCCATTCAGGATTTCTTCTTTTTGCGATTATTATCAAGATGACGGATGTATCTCTGAGAATTTATTAAAGAAATTGATTTAGCAATACGAAAACTGAATTTTAAATCAATTAAAGTCTCAATAGATGCACTCTTGGAGTTTCTATAGAGAAATTTCAAAAAGTTAATGCAACTGCTCGGTAGTTCTAGTGTGAACGATATCTCTGGCATCAGTAAGGTTAACATATTTGTGAAAATTGAATATAAAGTAAGGAAATTTATCTAAACCATTGATACAACCTGACTTCACAAGCTGATATAAGCTTCGGTTCAGAGCGATCGATTCAATGATTCCTTTCAAAGTAAAAAATCATTGCAAAAACGTTTTTAAATTAACATCGTTCTATTAAACTCGATGTTTTAATTGTATAATTCCTGTCAAAAATTGAAGAATCAATTTATACAAAAATTTACTTAAATATGATGTTTATGTCAGTGACATTAGATCCGCTGTTTTGAATTTTGCATTTTTGATAGAATATTCAGATTTGTCAGCTCCAGAAACAGAAGTATATCAATTTTTATGAAAATCCTGTGAAATTCTGAATTTTGGGCAGTTTTTCGTCAAAAGGCACTGTGTGCTGCACTGCGCCGCAGTCACGTGCATACAGATCGTATTCCCGCGTTCATCTTGATAGAGCCTATCTCAGGTAACGCGAACCACTGTGCGGAGAGTAGCGCCAGCCTGTTTTTAAATTATGCCATACCCGATGCACGACGCGATAAGAAAAGTTGAAACATTAACAAGCGTGCAAATACTCCTAGAATCAGCCACTCCTGATACAGCCGCGTTTAATTATACGGCTGCTTCGAAGTCTGCCGAGAATTTGCATCGTTTGTTATCGGCATTGATGTGTACGTAACGTTTCCGAGTGAGAAGAAAGAGTTTCTTTGATACCGACGACTCTATTTGCAGATTATTTCGTTGAATGTGCGGACTGCCAGGGGTGACGCATTTCGACCCCTGGGATGAAGGAGATACTTGTTTTGTGATGTTATCAATTAAGGGATGGATGGATTCATTAACCACTTTTTATCTTTAATTTTTTTCTGTTTATATGTTTTAGGCAGTGGTAATTTTTGTCTTTGGGTTTCTTCGTTTATGAGCTTCAGGCTGTATGTCAGCTTCGTGTTTTATTGTTTATACATTTTGAATTGTAATGAGCTTGTTTATTGGAACATTACATTTTTATTTGGTAACTTCGTTTGTGAATGAAATATTTTTAAACTAGAATTTTAAATCTTTGGAACAGTCAAGGGTGGAGTCGATTTTTCTTTATTACTCATATATCATATATATTAATTAGAAAGGATTAAATGAAAACGTGGAATTTATAAAGAATCTTCAGAAATTTTAAATAACCGACTGTTTTACACATTACCAATTATTGATTCTTTTTTTTTACATTTTTACAGGTACTTTTGTTCACTATTGCTCTTTGATTCTTCAGAGCAAAAACAACCCTTGAGAGCTTCATATCTGTTTTCACATTTTTCTGTAAATCTTGATGACTATAGTACAACACACACACAATATACAACTTATTCCACGGAAATAAAATTTGAAATCTACCTTGAAAACTTATATACTTACGTAACAAATGAAAACAAACTGGCAAGACAGTTACGTACATTTTGTAGCCAACATTATGTGCCTTCAGCAAATACAACATATTATGGGTGAATTGTGTACATTCATTAATACCTTATAAAAAGTTAATTCGTCGTGTAAATATCCTCATGAAATGTTAATTTGATTATTTGAGTTACCAGATCGACGTAACATTTAATTATTTGAAATGAGTTGGCCTTTAACTATTTAAAGTATCTTCCTACTTTTTGTAATATGACCACAACAACAACAAATTTACAATTTCAGAACAACAAAAGTATGATAAGGGAAACCTTCACTCTTTTACTAATGTCACCTCTTTTTTGCTAATACGTATTAATGGTCGATTCAAATGCACAAAAATTCCTCCCCATGAAAATAATCCATTCAATGGAAGATTACACATTTGAAGAATTATTCACGTGACATGCATGCAATTTTACCATTTTGAGTGTACTTCCAAAATACTGATAACAAATGGAAAATTATTTATTACAACAAAAATTCATTAAACAGAAATAATTAGAACTGAAATATAGTCTATATTTAATACGTAAGTCCTATTATTAAATTTTTTATTGGTCTTTCTTTCATCTTATTTGTGCTATAAAAGAATAATATGTCATCAGTTGCTATTTTTTCCAATTATTTCACCTTTCTTCTCTAAGATAAATGCGTCCTTATGATTTACAGAAATTTCCTTTAAACTTGGTATAGCACCTCGCTTTCCGGAAGACAAAAGACTTCATTTCGTAACACAGACAAATTCTACAGTACTCACTTATCTCTAGTAGTCGTTCCGTTCTTCTTTCCTTCGTTTTCTTTGCTGCTTTGCTTGAATAATTCCTTTCGCCGATTTTATTTCTTAGTGGTCGATGGAGTAGGTTGAATTTCACTGATAATGTCATTCGAATTAATGTGTTCTACCAATCATTTCCTGCATTTGCGTTCAAAGCTCATAAAACTGACATTACGATTCTTTTACTTTCTCTCAAATGACATATAACTATCGTCTACTACATTGAAGTTACTCATTTCGATCTTAATGGTTATTTAATTATAATTAAATTAATTATCGACTATAATTACTAATTGTGAGCGAATGTTGATAAATAATTTGACAAATAATTTACTTATCAACGTTGATTTATTTTAACATTATAAATTAGCCGTGTACCACCGGTGGTACGTGCCGGCGTGAATGTGTTAATTCATCTTTCTCTATGTAGGTTGCTGCAAACGTTTCAAGAATCCGCAGTTTTCAGCGTCGCGATTCAGTTATTTATTCCCGAAAGCTTCACATTTTTAAATTTATAAAATGCTGACACAATACAATGGAAAATGTATTAACACTAGAACTACCGGGTGGGTCAAAATGACCAATTCCTAATTTCTTCATTTACAATTACTGAGAAGGTACAAATGCTTCTCTGAGAAATCGTTAAAGAAGCTGACTTGGTAATACCTACACTGAATATAAGCCAATTGAAATCTTTATAAATTCACGCTTATAGCTTTTATAAAGAAATTTTAAAAAGTCGATTTAAATGCTCGGTAGTTCTAACGTTAATGTAAAAGGAAAATATTTTGAAAAACAATAAAACCATTAAGGTAAAAGCACCAGTAGTTGACCAGTTAAGAAAAATTTTATGCGTGAACAACAGTAAACGCTTGCTCCTTTATTAAATAGAGAGACTCTATGCGTGAAAATACAGTTTGAACTTCTTACATAACAAAGCGAACTTTTTTAAAATAGTTATGTTATCCAAATTTTATAGACGTTTTTGAAAATTCTATTCTTGCGACAAAAGTTGACCATCTTTTAAAACGAGAAAACTAGTAATTAACCATATGTTATTTAGCAGTTGACCACTTATAATGAAACACTAAAAGTGATTACTTTAAAATCGTTTATTTACAATGATTTTGACAAATTACAAGTAAAAGGGCAAATAACATCATCACAAATAACGTCAATGAAATAAATTGTTAGTGTTTACAATAAACAATTTAACTTAAGTAAAAGTGTTTCGGAGTTGGGTCGGTAGATGCTGCAACGTATCTATCCCGCCTTTATCAAAAGATTATTACTTTTAAAAACCTTATTTTTTACGTCTTCTTCAAAAATAGTCCACTAGCGATACCAAGTCAATTACTGATTTTACCTTAGTTCAAACTTATTTGCGACTTTTCTCATAATTCTCCGAAACAGCAACCCACGTACAGACAACAGTTCCAAACGATAACATGAAATGCTTTATCCAACACCTGAAAATCGCAACTAACCACGTGGATATTTTGTTCAGCCAAAAAGCTACCCCAAGACGTGAACCCCAAGGGAGTATTCGCGTGCAACGAGCTCGATTTGAAGGAGGTCCAAGTGTACGGGTTCGATTATGATTACACGTTGGCCTGTTACAAACCGTCGATGGACTACCTGCTGTACAATCTCGGTCGGGACATGCTCATCCAGAAATACAAGGTAGGCAAGTGTTTCATTATCCGGAAAAGAAAATCGTTGCGACTGGGACCGGCCGACGGAAAGTTTCGGGCCGACAGCCTTGGCTGTCGCAACGAGACTAATTCGTAACGGGCACACGGAACTTCGGCTAACTCGTTTCTGCTCGCGAGTTCGGTTCGTCAGCGGCATTTTCTCGAAAATCAAGCGACAATTACGGCCGAACGAGAATTTCAATTGAAACTTGAGGCAAACCCGTTTAATCGACTGTACAGTACCCCGAGGGAATCACCGACCTCGAGTACAAGGAGAATTTCGCCGTTCGCGGCCTCCATTATGACATCGAAAAGGGTCTGCTGCTGAAACTCGACAGCTTCTTGCAAATTCAATTTGGCACCGTTTACCGCGGCCTGCATCCGGTCCCCGACGACGAGGTCCTCAGGCTCTATAAAAACAGGATAATACCGATCGCCTACGTAGAGGCGCCGCACAAACACTCTCACGTAAGCACGTTTCACCAATAGTGAGTATATATACGAGGCAGTCACGTCGAGTTGACGGAATCTCTCTTTTTTTTTATTGTTAACCCTTTGCACTCGAATTTTTGTTTATTGTGAACCTTTTGAGTTTCACTACGTGTACTCATTATTTTCTAGTGAGACGTTGATTGTATTGTAAATTATTAAGCATAAAGTAGTTGTATCGACCATAGTTAACAAATAAATCATAGGGCAAGGGATTAATATATAATATATTTATATAGCCCCTTTTCCTAAGTTTTAATAATTTCTTAGAAGAAAAAAAGATTTTTGTGCCTATTCTATATCTACGTTTACTTCAAAAGTTAACGATTGATAATAGGAAACTAAGCGTTATTTATAAATGATATATTAGATTTGATAAATTCAATTTAAAATTTTCGTCACGAATCTGACACGATGTTATAGGCTAAGAGGTTAAATAGAAATAATACACGAATCAATGGATAGAACGGTTTTATTTTAGTATTTTATATTTAATTGTATTATGTAAAATGGGATATAGAATATTGAATTTTATAAGTTTGTTATATTAAAAGAAATAATAACTTTAAGTTGCCTCTTGAGTGCAAAGGGTTAATACGTTTCTATAGACACGTACTCCCATTATGAATCTATTAATAATGTATTGTCTTTTTTTTGTACGTCATAATCGGTGATTTCTAACGCAAAACTTTAATTGAAGTTGAAGAATATTAAATATTTTAGAATATTTTAAAACATAAAATAAGAATGAAAATATAAAACGTTGTTTTATAAAATTAGGCTTACTTGTTTATTATTTAAAAAGAAAAAATTAAATCTTGAAATATTTATTTCGAAAACGTTATCAAAATTTGTTAAATATACTTTTCAAAGAATAATCAAATAATTCGATTGATAAATAAATTTTAATTACAATCTTACATACTATCAAACGGTAAATTAACAAGTAATGATTAATAAGTTCTATAATAAACGCGGCGATATGTATGTGTCAACAAAATTTGTTTGCTGCTAACTTTAGTGATCGTAAATCAGAATGATGAAGTCTTGGTATAAAATTACGTAAAACTACACCAGCGGCAAAGAGCTATAGATTTTTAAATGACATGGAAATACGGTAACGACTCCCAGTGTGTTAATGAGATTATAATATAATTATTATTGTGGGAAAAATATGATGTTCAAAAACAAGGGCGCATATTCGTCTAATTGGAGTGCACACTTTATGCATTCGTAATTGATGCAAATGTGCGGTATGCGACAAAGTAGATTCCTTAATGAAGTTTTCACAACACTTTCACTTTGTTTTTAATATTTTAAAGCTCTTAATAAAGAAATAACATATTCCATTGTACATAATTCTAATCTTTAAGAAGGAATCCAAAAAAATTTTAACTCAAACAAAAACTCATAAGTTATCTACAAATATTTCAATGGGATTAATTAATTTTTAAATTGCTTTTATTTATGAAATTTACTATAAACATTCGCTTTCAATTTGTACTATATCCCTCATTTCCAGAAAATGATATAAAATTTAAGAGATTGTGTTAATAGGTTTTCAATCATTTAAGCAACTAAATAATCATTTTTGTAATAAAATAAAATTTTTAGAAATAGCTCAACATATTTTGCAATAACATACTTTGTCTTTTTTAATAAAAAAATTCCTAAATTATTAAAGCACCATATAGTGGTATGCATTTCAAATTTTTTAGGAGTAAATTCCAAATTTAAAAATGAATAGTTCATAACTGCAACCTTTTGCAAAATTTTAATATATTTCGTCTAAATATTAATACAATTTCCAAGGTATCATTTTCATCTTTAGCATTAAAACGATTATCATCAATCGCTGTACGTTTCCCAAATATATAACATTTAAATCTCGTTTTCCTTTAAAAAAGATTAAGCTTTTTGTTTAAACTAATGGAATATCTCTGAAACAACGTTTCAGACATGTTCTGCCTTTTGTGAGAGAAGTACAATATACAAGCATTATGTAAGCAGCCACAGAATAATGGCCTCTAAAGATTTTAAAAAGTGTGACATAATCTTAGATTATATTGCATTCACTATTATTCAGATGCAAATTGCAATAACCTGGATTCGTGATGAACTGAAAAGAATCAAGTACTTAGTCTGTTCGAAGCCTCCTTTGTTTTTCTTCCTTTGGATTCACAGTAACAATACTACGAAATGTCGTAAACTATTCGAAAAGCATAACTTCGGAACTTAAATACTCAACGATATTCGATGGTGTAACCGATTGCATGACTGTTTTGACCTCTCTTCAAGGTAGATACCTTATATGCACGTACACGAATCCCCAATTTTCCGTCCGCGAACGAAAACTGGACAAACTTTGCAGCAACTTAAACGTACTTCTGTTTGTTTGCATGCGTCGATACGTGTGTGTTTTATGATGGAATTTTTGTCAACGTTATTACGCAGAAAGTGAGTATCTCTCAGACGTTTATTATTTAAATGTTTGGATATTCAATTGTAACGAGTTCCATTACAGGAGGCCCTGCATCGAACAAAAATGGTTCAACTCGCCGATTTATTCTCTGTACCGGAAATGGGGCTCCTGTGCAACGTCACGGAGTACTTCCTTCGAAATCATATAGACTATCACCCTGAAATACTCTTCAGAGATGTAAAGGTACATACAAAAACTTGTTTGCTTTCAAATGGATGTAGCATTAACCCTTTGCAGTCGAATATTTTTACTGGAAACATTTATCGTTTTTCAATGAGATATAAATGACATTTTTTAGCATTAACCCTTTACCCTATGATTTATTTCTTAACTATAATCGATATAACTACTTTATCATTCATAATTTATTAGGAAAACAAAATATTTTGATGCTTGTTTTATATCTACATTTACTCCACAGATTAACGATTGATAATAGAAAAGTAATATTTAACTTATATTTAAAAAAAATACATAACACTTGATTTCTCAAATTCAATTAAAAATCTTTATCATAAGTCTGACACGATATTGTAGGTTAAGGAATTAACTTAAGAAAACTCACAATGAATATTTCACATACTAGTGCATTATGCAAAACTTACTGTTAAATAGTAAACTTTAGAATTTTGCAATGCCAGATCAAATTGAAAGTTGCTTCTTGAGTGCAAAGGGTTAAAACATGAGTTTATATTACAAATTGTTACCCTGCGATGAACGATGTGATTTGAATATTTAGTTCAATAATTTCCACTTATGATAATTTATTTCATATCATTGAAAGTTTTAAATGTTCGTAGGAAGAAATAATAATAATAATATATTAGTACTATTTATAATATATATTATCACAGGATACATTAACTATTTTAAATAGTACAATATGAACAGAAAATTCTATTATATGATTATTTCATAATATAGTACATTAGATATAACATATCTTAATTTACCAATTATGAAATTATTTTATTTTCAACATTTTTCTATTTTAATTGTTCTATCGTTTATATTTGCCTTTAAGAGTGTAATAATCTATATTACGGATTTTATATATTAATAATGTGAGTAAAGAACCAAAACATAAGAAGTAGAACATTTTAGTCATTTTTAATAATATTCTTTTGTTCTGTTTAATGTTTTAATACTTATACCGAAGGAACGAAATTTCTTTCTAATTCCAATTCTTATAAATAATATATTGCAGTTTACAGAAACTTTTATAGTCCAGTAATTCAATATTTACGAAATATGTGCTTAAATCTCTTATGTTATGTGCTTATCTCTTCTCTTTGTAGAACTCTGTAAAAAGTTGTCATCCCATAATGCACAATATGGTGGTACAAAATGTATCAGAATATTTGGAACAGAATAAGGATTTGAAACAATTCTTCGACCGACTTAAAAAATCCAACAAAAAGATGTTTTTAGTTACCAACAGTCCTTTCCATTTTGTGTAAGTTTTGTTATTTACAATTAATTTAATAATCTACGAATTATATATCTTTTAATTCAAGTTCACTTGGAGATTGAATACTAAATATCTATTAATAAAAGTAATTATTAATCGAATCTTCAATCAAACGGCGACATTACTTTCAGTCATTTTATCTGTTACACAAAATTACTTTTTTTATCTTGCAAATTAAAACATTATTCTATAAAATTAAAATTGATTCAAATCTAATCACACTTCCATTTTCATCCTCAAAGTTTCATGAACATACGAGTATATATTTATGCGGGTGAGTCCTAAACCATTCCTGACAACACCTACACTGGATCTGATACTTTAATAGAAAAAGTGTTCCCTAACAAATTTTTAAGGACATAAAAGTATAATTTTCAAAAGTGTCTTTCGCCTTTAAAACATTGAAATCGTTTTGTATTTTTAAAACCCCATATAATACTTGTGTTTTAAAACTATAATTAAGAATATAAAAATTTGAATTTCCATTGTTTGAATAATTAGTCGATTGCATGGATATACAAGGATTATTATGATTCTTTAAAACGTTGCAGTTAACCACTGAAATGTACTACTGTTTTTTCGATAGTGATATAGGAATGAAATTTTTGGTCGGCGACGACTGGAAAGATTATTTCGACGTGGTAATAGTACAAGCGCGAAAACCGAAGTTCTTCACTGAAGAAACCCGGCCGCTCAGAATCTACGACGAAGTCAATAAAACTCAATTATGGGATCGAGTCACGAAAATCGAGAAAGGTGTAATATATCTCGAAGTAAGTGTAATTGTTTTCGATATACCATTGTTTAATAAATTTACGTAATTATTAACGTCTTCAAACTTAGGGCACGGTTAAGCAACTGCAAGACATGACCGGTTGGCGAGGACACCAAGTATTATATTTCGGAGATCATCCCTATAGTGACCTAGCGGATGTAACTTTGGAACATGGCTGGAGAACTGGTGCCATAATTAAAGAGTTAACTGTAATTATACAACTTTCAAATTCAATATAATAACTACACAGAGCAATATTTCTTTGAATTGTGCGTTTCATTTTTTTTATCTATAATAGTGACTCTTGCTATTTGAAATAGTTATCTCGAATAATAACTTAATAGCTGAAATGAATTTGAATGTAACTTCAAGTTTAAAGATGTAGACCTAAATTTTTTGGTTTCCATTTTTGTTAAACATTGTTTATTAAGTTAAAAACTAAGATCTTCTTCAAAGTTGGCTATTTTTATTTGAACAAAAGAATGAACTAAAAAATGACATCCTCGAGATCTTCTGATATTAAACAAGATTAATTTGAAACATTTTTATCCTACTCCTACGAGTCTTCAACGTTATGGACACAAATCATTTACAGAAAAAAGGCTTATTTCAAAGAAATTTACTCTTACACTTCATCTATTTTCAAATTCCACACATCATAAAAGATATAAAGTAATCATCACATACTATTTGTTAATTAATTTATATGTATTGTAGCACGAAATATGGACGCTAAACAAACCAAAATTCAAGGAAAACGCTAATTGGTTACAAATGTTAACTGGTTTAATCGAGGAACACCAAGATTACGAGGGACCAGGTGTGCAAACGGTGCTCAACGAATGGATCAAAGAGAGGGATGAATTAAGAAACGAGATAAAACGAGTTTTCAATAAGCAATTCGGCTCTGTGTTCAGAACATATCATAATCCCACTTATTTTTCTAGAAGACTCTTCAGATTTGCCGATATTTATATGAGTACGATTACAAACTTGTTAGAATATTCAACCAGTCACACTTTTTATCCAAGAAGAGGCGTAATGCCTCATGAATACACCAGCTATTTCGTGTAATGTATACATCTACGTTCAAAATCACAGTTAGGTGTGTTTGCCGTATTTTAAAAATTTGCTTACTCGTTAGAGCTTTCAGAGCAAAATATCAAAAGTGACCTGGACAATATACTCCAAAAATGTTGCAATCATAGAAGTTAGATGCTTAACTCCAGAATTACTTTTGCAGAATTTTACTTGTAATTTGCTTGGAAATTGATTTATAATCCAACATTATAATCCAACAAGATATCATTTAATATAAAAATTCTATGAAACAATAATTTACGAAATTTTTTATGAAAATCTTTAAAATACTAATTCCAATAACTTTTCTTAATTAAACAAATATATGATATTTTATAATACATTTGTAAAATATATTCTGCCTTTCTTCCATAATAATATCTACATTTCATGCGCCATCTAATATTTAAAAATGATTAAAATTCCAAAAGTACTCCTGGCGTTAATTCGCATTTTCCTTTTATGTAAATAAGAAGAGAATATCAGACTGTTAAGAATCAAAACATAAGTTAAAGGACAAACGTATAAATTCATTACATTGTCCAAATATATATAGTGCAATGCATAATTATTTAGACGAAATAATTTACTTAAACTTACCGTTGCGTATTGATTGATTGTCTTATTGTCTCATCAATCATTGCAATTTAAATTATTATGTGTATTTACATTGGATATAGTAATATTTTACAAAAATAATGCGGTAGAGGTCTCGATGGTACAAAATGATATAACTAATGATGCTTGATGCCAAACTATATACATAAAATGATTTGTAGAACAATAGAAGTTAACTGCTTGTAGAACATTTTAAAACTGTTGAGTTTCGTATATTTTATTCTTTATGGATATATATATATATATGTATATATATTTTATTCAGGTACAAAATTGATCGTATTAAACATTATAAATGACAAAGTCTATTATCAAAGCGTATGTATGCATACCATACATGAAATATCGCAAAATGGACGTATAAAACTTATTCTATTATGTCCTTATAATAAAGTACAATTTAGAATAAATAGGATACAGAAGTTTAAGTTAATAGGGTTAATCCTTATAACTGTGATTATACTTCCATCGAGCTTACTTTTTCATGTTAGTATTTTCCGTTATTATACAAAATATAGTTATACAGACAGCGTAAATGACTTGTAGTATAGTGGTATACTGTCCAAAAAAGAATCATTGAGATATTGTGTATGTATTAAACAATATTATATTGAAGCTACCTGCACAGAAAAGGTTTTACTTATTATTTACCTTATTAAATTAGTATAATCTGTTTTACATTCGTTTACCTTCCATAAATAGAAATACAATGCTTATGCGGATGTGTTCAAGATATACATAAATGGTTGTAATAATCAATGAAAATAAATCTAGACAATACTTTTGTGATGTACATAACTTATATTTATATTTACTCCTTTTCCAATTTCCATAAACTTTTTAATTTTATTCTATGTATGAAAAGTTATATAAATCCTTTCTTAAAGAGTAATCGAATATAATTGTCTTATATTTTACGCAAAATACTTGTCACATATGGCAGAAATATAATACAAAATAAGCATTCACTAAAATTAATAGATAATATATGACAATAAGAAGTATAAAAAGTATGTAAAAAATATCGTTTAATTTATTTTAACACCTTGCTGACTGGTCACTACTGTATTCATGTTTTTAAAAATTGAGTTGTATTTATACTTACATTAATTTATATCTGAAGGCAATACAGATTTTTATAATAGTATTTTAATTTGTATTTAATAATTTAAAACACTTAAATCACTTTAACATATTATACACAAATAAGGTATGTGTATTGAAGATTAAAGATATCTTCTTTAGACAAAATCGTCAATCAACAAGGTGTTCAAAATGAAGGCGAATTACTACGTAAATAATTCTTAATTTACAATGTTATTGTTCCTACTATACAAATAAGTTTACAAAAAATAAATTCATGAAAATATTTATTACAGAATGTAAATTATAAATTATCTATGAGAGCAAAAGAAAAATATTTTATACTTCCATGTTTTCTTAGAATAATTATAATTGGAAATAAAACAAATTTTAGCACCGTAAAATACGATATTAATTCTAAATATCTATGAGAACGATACATTTACATCTGAAATACAGCTTATATATGCTACTATTTTTCAATATAAATTAGTTATGATTGTTCAGTACTCTTTTTAGTGAATTTCTATTTCATTATAACTCAATTGTTTCAATTAACCATGCGAATAAGTAAAAATTAAAAGCGGTTAATTATACGAAAAAATCTGTTACTGTTGGCGGAAAAACTGAAAATAACTCACACAGTGATATATTTCATGAAATAAAAGCAGTTTTAAAGATATCATTATATACAACGCATTTTCCTGTATTTTGTATAAAAATGCCCGTAGTTATTATATACAAATGATACGAGTGTGTTTGTATAAATAATTCAAATATATTTAAACAAATATCAGAGATTACAGTATTTACATAAAATTCTCTTACACTCATGCGAACACAACACGCTCACAGCACTGTCCTACGTATTTTTATGAATGTCAAATACAGTCAGTGTACAGTATACTTATTCTATTCACACCAATACAAGTGTGTCTGTACTTGATGACTGTATTACTTAGAAAATGATTTTCGTAGTACTCATTTGATGTGATCGTCACACAAAATCAAGCCAAACTGAATGACCCACAGCCCGCCATAACACTCAGATAGTAGTGTCACCACAGTATATCCTAGATTTTTTATCAAAACATGAGTTTCACTTCTGGTTCACGTGTCGCTGGCACGAGGTTAATTCGGTAAAGAATGTCCACTTCAAACTAATTACTTGATCAGTCTGTATAAACTACAACATTCTTTCTTAATAATTGAGTAAGCCAAATACTCGAAATTACAATTTTCACATTTCTCACAAATTATTATATATTATGCATTAAATTGTGTGTACGCTTTATCAATGTTACGTACACATTAAATTTTATTAGTAATGATAATTATAGTCTCAGATAAAAAAAAATAACAAAATCATTACTATCATCAATATTTCAGACAATTTAGTATTAAATGAGATTATCCCTAGTTATTGGTCAACTTACTGAGTGATTGACATTTTCCCTTGTACAGTCTTCCATTTCCACACAGATACAAGACCACATGACTACCAACGAGGTAGACTAGAAAAATTAAGTTCCTGTTAAGGTAGCGGAAGTTATGTCGCATAATGAGCGACGACAGAATAATTTCGACACTTTACTTGGGCTAGTACCATGCGAATAAAAATAATAAAAATGGAACTAAGAAACTAAAAAGTAGTAACAACTGCTAATTGAAATGAAACTTAAATTGGAAGGGGGAACCATGGAAGTGGTGGAATTCTTGGAAGGGATTAGAACCATACTGATGTTTCCCTGACTCTGGGTCTAACGGATCTTCTCCTTGGTCAAATTTCGCTCGTTTTTCATCATCAGTTAATACTTCTTTGGCAGCTGCAATGTCAATAAACCTTTTCTCCGCTCGCTTCTTTTCCTCTCCTTCCTGAAAATTATCAGGATGCCACTTCTGTGCAGCCTTTCTGTATGCTTTAATAATATCCCGTTTTGATGCTGTTCTTGGCACACCTAGGATTCTATAATAATCTCGAGATTCAGACAGTTTTTGTCTTTGTTGAGCTTTATGAAGACCTTGTTTCGCTCTTTGCAAGCTAGGATCAATTTCTAAAGCTTCCTTAAAGTCTCTTATCGCTTTTTACAAAAATATAATTATATTATTAAATTATTTTAATTGCAAAAAAAATTACATACCATGTAAGCATGACTCACCATCATCAAACATCTCAGAAGCAAGATATGCTTCTGCGCTGTCACAATACACTCCAGGTTCTTTTCGAATTTTTAGTGCTTCTTTACAATTTTTAATTGCCTCACCCGGCTGTAAATCACCAGTGTAACATTTGCAAAGAAGATGCTGAGCAAGAAAACGAACATTGCCTATGTTTGGTTCAAGCTTAAGTACAGATTGAGCAGAAACTATGCACTTATCATAATTTTTAGCTTCTTCAGAATTTTCCGCATTTGCTAATAACTGAGCTATTTTCTTAACTTTCTTGTAAAATGAAAAACACTTTGAATGCTCTGGATCAAGCTTTAAACACTCTCGAATTTCTCTAAATATTTAAAATTTTAATTAGATAATTTGTAGTATTATAAAAACAATCTTAAATAATATTACTACTCACTTCAATGACTCGTTTACTTGTCCAAGACGATAATGTAAACCAGCTAACTTAAAGAATCCCTGTGTGTTATCAGATTGTAACTTAGTTGTAGAACGCACATCAGAAATAGCACTCATATAATCTTCAAGAGCTTCATAACATTCTGCTCTGCGTTCCCTAAGTTCAGCTGACCATGGACATATTTCAATAATTTTGGTAAGTTGTTGTGCAGCTGCTGCATAATCACCATGTCTTATTAATCTGTCTACAATTTCTAGATCTTCTTGTGCAGGTGATATTTTATATAAGGCATTGAGAGCTTCGTTATTTGGTTCTACTGCCAACTGTAAGAAAAAATAAACACAATATGTTGCAGTAGCATGAAATTTAATTGTTTAAATAAAAGAACTACATATCCTACCAAAAGTATACTTACCACATTTCGAAAATCTGCTTCAGCTTTATCAAATTGAGCTTGCTTAAGTAACACATTACCTCGTTGTAATCTTGCAGACGTAAAATCTGGCTTTAGTTCCAGAACCTTGTCAAGATCAAGAAGCGCAAACTTTGCTTTACCTAACGCTAAATATACTGTGCCTCTTTTGTAATATGTTAAATAATTGTTCGGATCACCCTCTGCAACAACAGCATACTTCAAGATTTTGAATCATTTAAATTACACTAACAGTTTACGTCACCATTATGATTATAAAATCGTAAAATTATGATGAATGGAAACCATACTCACCAACAGCAGCATGGTAATGTGACAGTGCATCTTGTAACTGACCTTTTGCTAAAAATTCTCTACCTAATTCCAAATGTCTATCAATTTCTAATTGAGAAACACTTCCAACCACTGTAAAACGAAGTCATTAAGTATTGTAGCGTGAAATAATTATAATAAATATACTGCAGGTTAGGATTATTTACCGTCTAAAGACAAATCCAATAAAACTAATAATAAACCACAATGGTACATGACTGAATAAAAAATTGAGACGATGGTACGAATACTTCAATAAACAAGAAAACAGACCTGCTGGCTTTACAAGCCTCTATTCAACCACCAGATAACACAAAACTGATCAGCCACACCGCCATTGCGATCGTGGTCTTACACGATTGGTCCAAGTTGGTCGAACAGAAATTGTTCTCCCACTATTTACACCTACATCTATTCCATTATAAGATTGCAAGCCAATCTTACCGCATGAAAATTATCTCTTCGAGCAACCATTTACCTTATTATCGACAAAAAATAAATAAAGATTAATTATCTCTACTATGTACAACACTTTATATAAATTTTCATACACACAATAATGTATCATTTAATGTTTCCTAACAATCAAGATAACATTTGAAAGGATTGTTTAACTGATACAAGTTTACAAAAACAAAGAATTGTATCTGAAGATTTATTAAAAATTTATTTACTTTCAGATATATTCTTTACTAAGAAATATGAGTTAACATAAAATACATAAATTCCTGACAATTAAAAATTATCGTTAAAATATGGAAAATATCTTCTACACAAACTTTTTGGAAAGTTGATTTAGAATTTGTGTTTTTATTGATATACATGCATTTGGTAACTGTCCAAAATACTTTAATAAATATTTTTGTCTACCAGATAAAAGCTGCATTATGATTCTACCACCGATGGCATGTAGAATACAGAAAAATATACAACATAAAAGAACGTATATATTGAAATCACACAGATTTAAATTCACCCAGCACAAAAGATTATGCAATTGTTGCAAGAACAACCCGAAAAATAAAGAATACCTACCCTCTGATTCGAATATACTCACACGACGAAGCAAAATAAAATAACTGTGTATACAAACTATTTCGTTTGAAATACGTGTTTCGGTAAAAGGTAAAGCGATTCATCAATTTCAATGTAAATCACGGGGTAGAAAAGCGTGTACATATAAAAAAGACTCTACATCGCATAATCTTTTTTTCCTTGTTTATTTGATGGTTCATTTTATAGAATCCTCCTGTCATTTTTGCATAATACTATAAATAAACGAATGAATCACTAAATGAATGAACATGTAAATAATACACGTGATCCATCGTCTCTTATGAGGTATTTGTAACAATATTGACACTCTACATCATTCTTCACGAAATACACGTGCTCTTTCATCTCAGCACGAGATGCACATGCTTTCTGCAACGCGATCGTAACTTATTGCTAGTGAACGACTGTATACATATCGAATGTGCATACATATCTATATAAATATGTATACATACATATATGTATGTTTATGCATACATATTTATACACGTATGTATACACCATACATTGCATAAGGTTTCAAGTTGAGTTCCTTTATTTTTGTTCAATTTCAGACACTTTATTTTTATTATTTCATTCAATAGCCGTACGACGTACAGTTGTTTGCAGATTTTTGTTTCCTACTTCTCATATTTTTTTCTCAGTTCACCTAATGTAGCGTGTAAATGTGCAATTACTAATAAGAGACCGACAGAATGGTACGTTCACCGTTCCGTTTCTTTACTTTTCTTCATCATCATCATCTTCTTCTTCTTCTTCTTTTCACACTCTTGACATTTTGCTCGCTGTTCCGAGTGAAACGCACAATATATATATATTTATATATTTATACATATATATACACACACATATATATGTACATATATATAGATATGTATAAATACAAATATATATATATATATATTTATATATGTATAGCGGTATCATTAGTTACAATTGAATGACACACGAGCATCACTGGCCGTGGAAATAATATGAACACAACCACCGAGACTCGTTGTCGGAAGCGTGACAATATTGCGCGACACGCTTCCATTGAAGTTTCATTCACTTACTTCATTTTTCCAACGCGCGTCATCATCGCGTTACTCGATTCAACAAGCGACGCCTATTAACTCGACACGAAATAACATTCGTAAAAGTTCGAAGACATTCATTTTCGTTTGCCATCCCGCCTTGTTTCGCCTAACGAATTTCTCGTTACCGCCATTCCCTAACGCGTGTGCTCTTTTACCATCATCTTTTCTCTCGTTTCGACCGTTTCCATCGCCTTCTCCATTCGCGCGCATACATCAAATTTCACTCAACCTCGTTTTTCTTTCCACTCATTTGTGTTTCTGAGTATTATATAGCTTCGTTTACCTTCACGCACTGAACAAAGAAAAAAAACTGCTCGAGTAGACATACAACAAGCGCGTAAAAATCTTTTTTCACCCCCGCCCCTCGTTTTCCATTATCCTTTATATTTTATCCCTTTCCTTACAAAACTCGAGAGCAAATCGAACACGCACGAACATTCGAATAATCGAGCATGCGTAAACATATACAATACAAAAAAAGGAAATGGTAAAGGAAACTATTATCTATACAGCACGCGACAACAATAGTGTTTTCAGCGACGCTATTTACGCGTGGCACGCCGTCTCTCTCCCAACACTGTTGCGTGATGCGTACGTGATAAATACAATGGATTTACAATTAAATGTTTCTATCTTGTGTGTATGTGTGCTTCAATAATTGCGCATTCTTTGCTTGTAGTAGTAATGATTGCAGTCACAGTTAAACGCCACCATTTTCTTTCTTTCTCAAATGTTTTTCTTATTTTTCACATTACACGGGACGTGTAACACTATTCACTTTTCGTACATAGCCCCTCTCACGGTCTTTTTATCTCGTTTCGCACTATGATTGATTTCTTTTTTCTTTCTTTTTCTTCCTTTTATTTTGTATCGTTTCTTTCTAATCGTTCCGCTTTGTGTAGATCCGTAAGTGTTTATTAAGGCTGCTCGTCCGATATACTTTAGAGGACCAAACAATTGTTAAAGGTACTTTGTGTACGGTACAAATACGCGACCACTGTCCTTCCGAGAGAAATAACAGAAAGAGAGAAAAAAACTATAATAAATACTTAAAACGTTAATAAATAATAGTTTCGTTTATTACATCGTTCTCCTATCTTCTCTAAAGATGCTAATACCATCTAAATTATAATGCCGTACTTGAATTTGTATACGTATACCGGTTACGGAAACGGTGGACATCCGATTATCACGTAAATTTTAACTTGTCAATAATCCTGATTTTCGCGATCAAAATCACACCGACAATTGAACCTTTTAAATTCGATCGACGGTTTGTTCGCGATATGGAAAAATATAAATTAAAAAAAAAGAGAATAGACAAAAAATACATGAACTCAATAGTACACCTTGACCGCTCGACGACCAACACTGTTGCATATATAAAAATATTGTTATAACTAGGAGAGAAATAAGTATAAAAATATTTTTGCGTATTTGCGAGTTGACGTTACTTGCATGATCTCTGTCCACCATATTACTCGTAAATAAACATATTACTTCCAACTGCACAGGACTAATAACTTACATCGACGCGTCATATGTATTCGTTGCATCGGCGAACGATTGGACAGTAGAATCCAGAATTTTCATTACGAATGTTTTTATAATATGTGCATGTACGGGTACAAGTGTAGCTGTTCGTATTCAATTACATGAACGATTATAATTTTTTAAATAACGGAAAAAATATACATATTAAATATTTATGTATATATAAAATACATATATGAAATACATCATGAGATATGTATGTATATATACATATATACATATATATATATATAATTATTCAGGATAATAATGTCCAATAGCCACCGTTATACTCGTTCTCTTTCTATCGCAGTGTAAAATAACACAAACGCAAACAGCAAAGCTGTTTCTGAAAAAGCTTGCGCGTACACGGTAGTACCACCTACGAAACCGACGTAGACGTTGTTGAGAAAACGAATAATGTAACAGTAATAATCGTTAACTAAGAATAATATTATAGCAATAATGATACTAATAATAATAGTAGTAGTAGTAATAATAGTAGCAATAGTAGTAGTAGTAGTAGTAGTAGTAGTAGTAATAGTAGTAGTAGTAATAGTAGTAGTAGTAGTACTATTACGGCAAGATCTACTATTTTTCTCGACAAACTCGATCGTCCAACTGAAGATATCTGCGTTGCCGTAAATAGAGTTGTACACTATATAAACGAAAAAATGATCGATCGTCACTCTTCACTGTGGGTTCTTGTAATGTTCTTGGCAGGGCCTCCGAGTTGACAGATGAACTCGACGATGAAATCATATTATAGAGAATTTGAAAACCACACACACCATATGGTTCGGAAGCCAACAATATTTACTCGTAACACTATTTGAAATGTTCTAGTTGAAATAATTATTTTCCTCCCCCTTATATCGCAAGGAGGCATTCACACCTTGGTCCACGGTCACACGGCATACGATTCACGCACGCGATTGCACTATAAATCTATTAATATAACAGGTATAAGTTATGACATGTCTAAAAATCCTGTCAGTTGTCACGCAAATCGAATTTGTACTTTTTCTCACATAGGTTTAGGTAAGAATCCGACGTTTGCACAAAAGATATCGATATTCTATAAAGCCCTACCAACATCATCATCCAGTAATGACGCGTTCCGCCGTTCATCATCTACCATTGATGCGCGTTACACATTTTTTTTTAATCATTTCATTTCGTTTTCTTCTTCTTTTTCTTTCTTTTCTTTTCCTTCTTTCTTTCATTCATTTCTTTTTTCTTTTAAGTAGAAACAATGCCCCAAAAAACGTGTTTTCAGGACTTAAGAGCCGAGCGTTCAGCCCTCCCCGATCGGACAACAGCCACGTGGTTTCTTCATGTATTTAACGACTTAATATTCCCATTTTTTCACAGCTCAAACAAAACTGAGCTTCTATGCTTTCCCTGACATTCAATACCAATTAATTAATACATTTAGCATTTGTATTTCGTTAAATTGTTCATATTTATCAATTCGCGTGGAAATTGAATGTCACAAGATCGTTCAATATCACAGTCGTTTTTCAATTATTTTAATGTTTATGTATTTACGAATATTACTTAGTATGTATATATATCTATATATAGCGTACTGATAAATACAGTTATAAAATATGAGTGCGCCTTTCGCCTTCTTGTTTCAAAGGGCTTGCTTCTTTGTATAATTCTCATCGTTATTTTTCTTTCTTTCTTTCGTTTGTTCGTTTGTTCTTTCATTTTTCTCCACAAAATTGAACCAACTTCTAACAGTGCACGTATGGTTTGCTCTTTCGTTCTTTTTTGAAGTTTTCCCTTCTGTAACTGCAACCGTATTCATTTTTTTACCCGTTTAACGTTATCTTCCGTTCACAATATCATGCTTTCGTTCCAGAGCACTCGCACCCAGTAACTGCGACCTAAGATTCATTTTTTTTCATTTTTATAACGCACCATCATACCATTTTTACAGGACAACGTCTTTGTTACGTTTAGAAATTCTAATTAGAGTACATTAAAAATTCAGGTACAACGAATTATATACCTGACGCGCTTGCTGAAACGTTACAGCCTATTCTCTAGATACAGCGACCAAAATTTTAAATAAAACGACACTTTTAATTAAGTTAGATTAAAATGAGCAATTAGTTTACAGTGTTCCTGTTATGAAACTTACTTATCGGTTTAAGAGGACGCGAGACAGAAATACAAACGTAGATTTCTAAAAGTAATCCTAAGACGCAGCCTGTGTCCTTTTCGTAATATCAAAGCTTTCGACTAGTGGAATATTTCACCGCAATTCAGTCGATAAAACCATGATATTGCCGGCGCAACGTCGTCTGTATCTGGGGACGGCAAAACAACAAAGTACCATTCGTCGCTGGATTACAGTAAATTTAAAACAGGAATCGTCACGAATTCTATGGCGATGGCGATGATATGACGTATCCTAGGCGCCTAGTCAAGTTTATAAGTGCGTTACATTAAAAAAAATAATAATAATAAAGAAAAAGAAACTAACAAAACAAAAAGGAGAAAACAAAAAAAGATGGCGCCGTCAGTTTAAATCAAACTACACAAGTTACTGGCCATTCAGGCGGGAGTACTAAAGCACTTGTGCATTTAAAGCTATATTAATTTCTCTGTTAGACGCCATAATTCTCGAAGATACGCACATAACATCCTTCAAAAAATTTAAATAATGGAGCTACAACGAGCCCCATAGTCTCGACAGGAGTTCTAAAAAATTTTACTAAGTTCCTCCACCTACTATGTGTTTTATCGTTATATCCCGTCTAGGCAATAACGATTCGATTCATTAGTGATTTAGACTACTTGTGTTCCTCAACACGCACGGCAACGAAACTTTGGATGGATCTTACATATCTTTGTCTAGCGCCTGACAAATCCTCATATATCCCTCCATGAATGTTTTCGAAACGAGATCACTGCCTTCCTTCGCGCGTCACTGTCCAAACTCGTCGTCTCGGTTGTTAATGCTGAAATTGCACTTAGGATTTGTCAAAACGTTTCGTCGCACGCGAATAAAAGTATTATCTTTTTTTTTTAATTATTTTCTTTTTTGTTGAATTGAATGAACATAATTACTTTTTTTATTTTAAAAAT